TGGTAACTGTTATCGTTGGCAGCATCGGACATGGAGGGGGTTTGGATGGCCGAATGGTTAGCCCTGTGTACGCTGTATCATAAGTTCTGTCATTGAGTCAAATGGCCTGGTTTCGATTCCCTGGTTGTAAGTGACAAGGAGTAGGGTCGCCTGTCCAACCTAGTGGATTTTCTCCAGGGTCCCCCGGTTTCCTCCCACTACTAAAGACCCCTACGCGCAAGCAAATTATTGAAATAAAATTGACCCATATGTTAGTCCCGGAATGACCTAGTTTGTGTCAAGTGGATGTTAAACCCCATCTCTCTCTTTTTCAGACATGCAATACTCTATAGTCATTAGCAGCACCTCATTCACATGCACCCAGTGCCATGAACTGAGGGCTAGTACTAAATCAGTGAACTCTTACCACATCAAACCAGGGGGGAAAAAAATTTTGAATCCACTAACCCAGGGCTAGTAGTCTACTGTCAGGCACTAGCCCGGCATTAATATTCACTAGTCCATGGTTTGACAAGGTACAAGATTTAATCTTCAATATTTGGGCATATGTTTTGTTGCCTGCTAACCTATCGTTTTTAAAAAAAGATCGTAGACTTGATTGCCTAATAATTAAGGATGTATATGGCTACTCGGTTAACCGGTCACGGTTCAGTTGCACTGGTGAAACAGTTTAAAGAACTACAAACCATATTCATTTTCATATCATATCTGACCTTCAAAACCAGGAATGGTAGTCACAACAATGTTTTCTTTCACTAAAGACCATGTAAATACTTCATATAGCACATGTCATTTATAATATATCACAGTAAATTAACGCCTTTAATTTCCGCTCAAAGATTTGTATACGTTACGTTATTATTAGCACTTACTGCAAAGCACGAGATAGCCTTGACTGATTGACAAATTAATTGTTTTACCGTATTTATTTACCTGCCCACTCTATAACGAGTCTCAAATTGAAATAAAATCAGTTTGATGTGCGGATATAATATTAAAATAGACAGGATAGTAAAATTGTTTATATTATCATTCGAGTGCCATGCTGTGTGCCGATAGGGTCAAAGTTGACGACACACGGGTCACTGGAACCATTCATCATGGCCTGTGTGTAATGAACATGTGTAGTAAATTCTTTGGAAATACCTGACATGTTAAATAATCAAAATTATCTTGTATTTAAAAATACAAAGGTATGCTTTCAAATATTTATGTCAGAACTAATCTAATATAAAGTATAATTGAGTCTTTTGTTTTAAAATCAACCTGATTTCAACTGGTTTATACGTGACCTGTCAAAGCGTGCAAGATGGAGAAATGTCAAGAATGAATGAATAGAAGGGGTACCAAAATTGTCCATACAGCTCTAAGTTTTACTACAGAAAATCTATTGTGTTTTCCTTGGAATTTGCGAAATAAATGTGGGATGTTTTACAGTTTATTTACATGTATCTATATCGTCTCTAGTTTAATTCACAAACCAATGAAAGGGCACTAGCCCAGGACTAGTACGGCTAAATGATCACTAGCCCGTAAGTTATTTTTGGTAGCCCCGGGCGTCGGGCTAGTGGATTTTTACAACCCTGCATCAAACTCAATTTGCTGTGATATGACAGCATCAGAGAGAGAGAGAAAGAAATAGGATTTAACATCCACTCAACACAAACAAGGTCATTTCGAGACTAACATATGGTTTAATTTCATTTCAATAATTCGCTTGCAGTGGGAGGAAACATGAGGACCCGTAGAAAACCCACGAGGTTGGACAGACGACCCTACTCCTTGTCACATACAAGCGGGGATTTAAAACCACGCTAGTTGACAAAATGACCGGCCTTATGATACAGCATGCACTTGCTAACCATTCGGCCATCCAACCCCCCCTGACAACATCAGACATGTTACATTTCTATAGACATCCAGTGAAAATACTTGAGTAGAAGAAGAATGCAACTTGAGGAATTGTAGTAAAACTTATTGTAAAATAGACTGAACAGATGTACCTGTACTTGTTTCGTCTGGATAATAAAATATAAGTATTTCATATAATACTCTTTTTAATGGGATGAAACAACCCCCTATTAGTGGGATGAAACAACCCCCTATTAGTGGGATGAAACAACCCCCTATTAGTGGGATGAAACAACCCTATGTATATTTAGGATGAAACAGCCTGTGGTGAAATGGTTTGCGGATGAAACAACCCTATATTAGTGGTATGAAATGACCCATGTAAAGTCGAGATGAAACATCCTGTGGTGAAACGGTTTTGGGATAAATAGGGCATATTATCCAGATCCATTTGGTTTTCTTTACAAGTATAATTTCGCCCCCCAACCCCAACCCCAACCCGGCTGAACAAAAAAAAACGATTGCCAGTTTGTACTTATAAACTGGTCAGTTTTTATACGCCCACATTGAAATGCGGACGTATATTGCGTCGCCCCTGTCCGTTCGTCCGTCCATCGTCCACAATTTCTTGTGAACGCTCTAACGCCAAAAGTTATCATCCAATTGTTTTAAAATTGATATATGTTGTTAACATTAGTGAGATGAAGAAGCCTATTTGATTTCAATAATTTCCGTTTATTACGGCTAGAGTTATGGCCCTAGTTTCACTTTCTTGAACCTTGTGAACGCTCTAATGCAAAAAGTTAATATCCGATCTTTGTGAAATTTATATGCAATATTTAAGTTAGTGAAACGAAGAAGTCTATTGAATTTCAACAATTTCTGTTTATTACGTCTAGAGTTATGGCCCTTGTTTCACTTTATTGAACCTTGTGAACGCTCTAACTCCAAAAGTTATCATCCGGTCTTTCTGAAATTTATATGCATTATTTAAATTAGTGAAATGAAGAAGCCTATTGAATTTCAGCAATTTCTGTTTACTACATCTAGAGTTATGGCCCTTGTTTCACTTTACTGCACCTTGTGAACACTGATAACGCCAAAAGTTATCACCCAATCTTTGTGAAATTTATATGCATGATTTAAATAAGTGAAACGAAGAAGCCTATTGAATTTCAGTAATTTCCATTTATTACGTCTAGAGTTATGGCCCGTGTTTCACTTTATTGAACCTTGTGAACGCTCTAACGCCAAAAGTTATCACCCAATCTTTGTGAAATTTATATGCATTATTTAGATAAGTGAAACGAAGAAGCCCATTGAATTTACGCAATTTCCCTTTCATTATGTCTAGAGTTATGGCCCTTGTTTCACTTTATTGATCCTTGTGAACGCTCTAACGCCAAAATTTATCACCCGATCGTTGTGAAATTTATATGCATGATTTAAATTAGTGAAACGAAAAAGCCTATTGAATTTCAGCAATTTACAATAATTACATCTAGAGTTATTGCCCTTGTTTCACTTTATTAAACCGTGTTAATGCTCGATTGATGAAAATTATCATCCGATATGTATGAAATTTATATGCATCATTTAAATTTGTGAAACAGGTCTATTGAATTTCAGCAATTTCCGTCAATAATTTCTCGAGTTATGGCGATTGTGAACGTTTGAATGACAAAAGTGATCATGTGATCTGTATGAAATTTATATGCATTATTTAAATTAGTGAAACGAAAAAGCCTGTCAAATTTCAACAATTTCTGTAGATTACTTCCAGAGTTGAGACCCTTGTTTCAGTTTGTAGAACCTTGTGAACCCTCAAACGACAAAATTTATAATCGGATCTGTATGGAATTGTCTTGTAAAGGCCCCCAATTACCTACAAAGGAATAAATATGCGACAACCCTTGGCAACCTATCTTTATAATAGACAAAATAAATTGACTTAAAAAGTAGTATTGTTAATTGTGTCCTACCATCAAAATAGATCCACATACACTGTAACCCGGGTATCATTTAAGCATGGGGGTGGGGGATGGCCGAATGGTTACCGAATGTATCATGAATTCTGTCATTGAGTTAACTGGCGTTGTTTCGAATCCTTGGTTGTACATGACAAGGAGTAGGGTCGCCTGTCCAACCTCGTATGTTTTCTCTGAGTCCTCCGGTTTCCTCCCACTGCTAAAGACCCCTACATGCAAGCGAATTATTGAAATAAAATTAAACCATATGTCAGTCCCGAAATGACCTAGTCTGTTGAGTGAATGTTAAACCCCATTTCTCTCTCTCTCATTTAATTTTGTATTTAGCACTAATTTCTTTCACGTTCATTCAATATCAAATCTTTGTTTAAAAATTTCGTCAAAATCATTTTAAATCACCAAAAATCATCTAATTTGTACTTGTGTCCAGTTTAAAGTTGACCCATTAATTTTGATAATGAGTTTCCAATTCACAAGCGTTTAATTTCTCAGTCACTGTTAAACGATAAACAACCCATTTGATTAATGATGTATAATGATTAATTTTTGAACAGTGGTCAGGAAATTAAAGTTACAATTTCATATTTTTAAGTTATATTTTTAAAATATAGCCCTAAAATAGATGGTATCTATAAACAGTCCTACCTTGTTAAAGAATAATCCTATTAAACCTATAATTCACTATTGCCAGTTGAGAAATTGGCAAAAATATCATTTTCATCTTCAAATTCAAACGTTTGAAGATACATGTAGCTACTCCATGGTGGAGAATAGAAAACAAGGGAGGTAATTGGGAGGTAATTGTGTTATTATTTCCGGTGTAAATGAGTTTTACAGCAAGTGTGAGAATGACACCTATGATCGTATAATAGTGAGTTGACAACCTATTGAGCAAAAGACATAGAAATAATTATGTTTTGACTTTCTTAGAAAATATGAAATTGTAACTTTGAATACAGTTTGTAAATTATCAAAATTAGTCAGCTTTACACTAGTCACATGTACAAATTGGATAATTTGGGGTGATTTAAATGATTTTTACGAATTTTCAAACCAAGATTTGATATTGAATGAAGGTGCTAGATACACAAGATTAAATGATACCCGGTTTACAGTGATAACTGAGTTAAAACATTCTATTTTATTGTTTTTATATTCAAGAAACCATCACCTGTGGTAAGATCCTGTCAGTCAGAGCAAACTGAATCCAAAACCAGGAATAATATACAGCTGAATCAGACAAGCTACCAAATCAACTTTGTCAATAACATAATGGTAAGTTTAATTTCAAGAGGGGGTTGGAGTGGCTAAAAATGATTTAGCGTGTGGAAAACTGTTTAAATCCGTTAAGAATCATAGAAACTCATTGGGTTTCTACTGTTGGGTACATGTAGTTTAAAGGATCTGGAGCTAGGTGGCTAGGTGGTTAAGACGCTGGCTCGCTAGCCTAGAGGTCGGGTGTTCGATCCCTGCATTGGCCGAGAAAGTTCATCTGGATTTTCCGACGTGGTTTCCCCTTGTCAGTGGCGCAGAACGGAGGGCCTGACAAAGACAGCTGTCTAGTCATTCGGATGAGACGAAAAACCGAGGTCCCGTTTATACATTAGAATGCACGTAAAAGATCCCTTGGCAGTTGCAATTTGATATAAGAGTAGGCTATAGCGCCCCTGCCCGGGCAAAATTTCCCTCATAGCACACTGTATGGCGTATGCCCGTCTTCATTAGCCCAGTCGGAGCAGAACAGTGGGACGTTAAACCCCATTTCATCTCAATTCATTTCATGAGTGTTGGGTTTATAACTGTTTACTTTCTCAAAAGGTGTTGATTAAAGATACATTATGGGAGATTAGATAAAGAGCTGGTAGTTCTCACTATAATAGTTAAAAACTAGATAATGTAAAGGGGAAAATGCTGAAAATTTCAGTCAAATTGATCCATGCTGAACCAAGTATTTAGCGATTGAATTTTGGGCCTAGCCTCGATCATCATTACTAAAGTTGGTTGATTTAATCAGAAGCAGGAGACCCGGTTCTTATCTAGTAAATATCGCAGACTAGCGATGACATCGAGAGTTGATTATGGTCTGGATAAGTTAATTAATAACTAATTAATAATTTAGATAACATGAATAACATTTCAGACCTAAAGAAAGATCTGCAATTGGCAGATTTAGCTCTTGCATAATGTATGTTTAATTAACAGACTAATTAATTACTGCACTAGAAACTAAAACAACACAACTAAATGATACCCAAGTTGTAGCATGTTGCGAGATCATTAGGACTGTCATTGAGTCAATTTGTAGCTCGTACGGAGTCATGGTGGCTGATGAGCGGGTAAGCCGCTGACTCGCTAGCCTGGAGGTCACGTTTTCGATCACTGCATTGGAGGAGAAAGGTCATTGGGATTTCCGACATCGTTTCCTCCTTGTTAGTGGTGCAGGACGGAGGGCAATATGGCTTTTTGGACAGATGGGTAAAGTGAATTATTTTTTCATCTACATGTAGTTGCCAAAATAAAATGCCCGAAATCTAATAAAACACTAATTTTACTTTTCTTTTAATTGAATACCAGGAATTTATACTGAATTGACTATGGATCAAAACGTTTTGTCTGGAATCACTCTACATTGTGGGACATTTTTCGGGCATAGATTATTATTTGTGAATTCAGCTGCAACAGTCTGATTGGATGGATGGAATTTAGGTCAGCATTGAGTGGGATTTCGGTTTGATGTTATAACATTTATATATTACAGGAAACTAATGATGTTATAACTTTTATATATTACAGGCATCTAATGATGTTATAAAATTCCATAAGTGTGTTGTATGTGATGAGATTTTCCCACAATATGATGATTTAAAACGACACAATAAAATACACATTAAACAAGAGAAAACTGATGATATAGATGGACGGAGCCATGTTAATGAAGAGAAAACTGATGATATAGATGAATACTGCCATGTTCATTTTGAAGAAGAGAAAACTGATAATGTAGATGAATATCGTCATGTTAAACGAGATAAAACCGGGGATAATGAAGCAGTTCATCAGTATGATGATGAATTTAAATTAAAAAATAAATTTAAAAAACCCAGTCAATTACAACATGAGACATGTTTTAGCGATTATGATGAAACTGGAATACAGAGTCAAAAAATTAATAATAAGTATCCTGAAAAGGGTGTTAGTTGTGACATTTGTAGTAAATCATTTATTAATAAATATTACCTGATACGTCACATGGCTTCTCATGCTGGAAATAAACCTCTTGAATGTGATGTTTGTAATAAAACATTCACTCAGAATGTTGATTTACATAGACACATGAAAACTCATTCTGATAAAAAACATGGATTCACTCCGGGTGTCGATTTACAGAAACACACGAGAATCCAGACAGGAGTAAAACCTCTTGAATGTGATGTTTGTAGTGAATCATTCACCCAGAATGTTGATTTACAGAAACACATGAGAATTCATTCGGGAGAAAACCCTGGCGTTTGTAGTGAATCATTCACCCAGAATGTCGATTTACAGAAACACATGAGAATTCATTCGGGAGAAAACCATGAATCATTCAATGAGGATGTCGATTTACAGAGACACATGAGCATTCATATTGATGAGAAACCTTTCGAATGTGATGTTTGTAGTAAATCATTTAGTCTGGATGTCGCTTTACAGAGACACATCAAAACCCATTCGGGAGAAAAACCTTATATTTGTGGCGTGTGTGGCAAGTCATTTTCGCGGAGTTCGAGCCTCACTGATCACATGATCATTCATACAGCCGAGAAACCCCACCAAAAGCCTTATGAATGTGTTGTTTGTCGAAAATCGTTTTCTAGGCGTCGTAATTTAAGACAACACATGATTACCCATACTACAGAAAGACCTTATGAATGTGATGTTTGTGGCAAATCGTTTGCAAGAAATGGCAACCTGAAGGAACACATGGTCATCCATACTCAGGAAAGACCACATCAATGTGATTTTTGTAATAAATCATTTTCTAGAAGTGGAACTCTACAAACACACAGGAGGAGAATCCATACAGGTGAGAAGCCCCATCAATGTGATGTTTGTGGTAAATCATTCGCTGAAAGTTTCGATCTGTTGAGCCACATTAGAATCCATAATGAAGAGAAGCCGTATAAATGTGATGTTTGTAGTCGATCATTCGCTGAAAATACTCATCTATTCAGTCACATGGCAACCCATACAGGTGAAAGACGTTTTAAATGTGATGTTTGTGGTAATTCATTTACTAGAAATAGTCATCTACAGGAACACGTGAGAATTCACACCGGTGAAAAACGTTATCAATGCGATCTTTGTATTAAATCATTTTCTAAAAGTGGCACTCTACACACCCACAGAATGAGGATTCACACCGGAGAAAGGCCTTATAAGTGTGATGTTTGTGGTAGATCATTCACTTCCTGTTCTGATCTTGTGAAACACACAAGGACCCATACAGGTGAAAAACCTTATAAATGCGATGTATGTGGCAAATCATTCACCTTGAGTAGTAATCAACAGCGCCACCTGAGAACTCATACTCAAAGGATTCATACTGAGCAGCAGCCTGTATAAATGCAACATGTTGTAATTCACTATGGCAATCAAATTAGAAAAATATTACCTAATTCTCTCACATGTTTGGCATGCACATAAAAGATCCTTTGGCAGTTGGAATTCGATATAAGAGTAGGCGGTAGTGCCGCTGTCCGGCCAAAATTTCACTTATAGCACACTGTATGGCGTATGTCCGTCTTTTTTAGCCCAGTTAGGAGCAGAACAGTAGGATGTTAAACCCCATTTTTTTTTATTTCTCCCATGTTTGCTGAGAAAGTTCTTCTGGACTTTCCGACATGGTTTTTCTCTTGTCACTGGTGCAAGGAACAGAATTGAGAACGTTAAATCCCATTTCATTTCTTGTAGTAATAAAAACCTCCCTCAAACATGATTTACATAAATTTGTAAATAATTGAAATAAATAGAAAAATCTAACTATTTGTTTTAACTTGTGGTTTCAAATCCTCAGTTGTACGTGACAAGGAGTAGGGTTGCCTGTCCAACCTTGTGGGTTTTCTCCCGTTTCCTTAAAGGGCTAATCCCGATAATTTTTTGGAGAATAAAACTGTTTAATTTTGTTTTAAAATCACTTAAAATCCTCTACCTGAGGGCCGAGCAACTAACTCGATATTTGTGATAAGTTTTCAAATAACTGAAACCCGTCAGTCTTCTTGTGGTAATGGAGACCAGTATCCAAAGCTGTATTATGCAGTGTCTAGAAAAAACCAGACATTTTTTGTATAAAAATAATGTGTAGAATGTGTAGGTCAGTCACTGTATAGACCTCTCAATGAACGGGAATCGATTATCAGGTCTCCCAACAAAACAATTGACCCGAAATCTTAAAAGGGTTACGTGGTCGGATAAGCAGTTTTGATGGTCACGTCCAAACGACTCAAAATTTTGAGCTGAAATTTTGAGATAAGGTCAATACACCATTCCTCTATATTTTACCACTTAAATTTCATACATTATCAGACTTTTATTTTTGAGACTCTGTTCAAATAAGGGATAGTCCCTTTAAACTGCTAAAGACCACGACGAGCAAGCGAATTATTGAAATAAAATTGAACCATATGTTAGACCTTAAATGACCTAGTTTGTGTTGAGTGGAGTTAAACCCCATTTCTCTCTCTCTCTAGAAAGATCAACGCTGATTGGTTAATCAAATGTCTGACATCATAGGGTCAAAAGTCGCTTGTATGAACCCCGGATGCGACCTTCCACTACATGTACAACCAGTCAGATCTTCATATAGTGTAAGCCATCGGAAGTATAAAAAAACAAAACGAAATATAGATCTGTATCATAATCAGATTGGGTACATGGTACACAATGATGTACACGTACATGTACTACAGAAACAGTTTCCAGTCGTGCACGTAAAAGAACCCTTGGTAGTTTGGAATTTACTGATGAATAGGTGAACATGCAGCTGCCCAGGCAAAATTACCCTCTTTAGTATCTTAGTAAACTGTATGGCGTAGGCCCATTTGGTGCAGTAGGTTGAATATACCATTTGCTTTCACAGTAGTGAGAGGGTTGGTTGGTCTAGTGGTTTAACTTGTGTGTGTGTGTAATCAACAAGGTCTTCCCGCTTGAGTCACCTGCCCAACCTCGTGGGTTTTCTCTGGGTCGGGGGGTTGGATGGCCGAATGGTTAGCATGTGCGTGCTGTATCATAAGACCTGTCATTGAGTCAACTGGCGTGGTTTCGAATCCCTGGTTGTACGTGACAAGGGGTAGGGTCGCCTGTCCAACCTCGTGGGTTTTCTTAGGGTCCTCCGGTTTCCTCCCACTGCTAAAGACCCCTACGCGCAAGCGAATTATTGAAATAAAATTAAACCATATGTTAGTCCCGAAATGACCTAGTTTGTGACAAGTGGATGGATGTTAAACCCCATTTCTCTCTCTCTCTCTCCCCCTTATTCCTCTACGAACTAATCTAAAATCATAACGGCAATTAACCACATTTCTCTCTCTCTTTTCTCTGGGTCCTTCAGTTTCCTCCCATTGCTAAAGACCCCTACACATCAAAGAAGTATTGAAATAAAATTAAACCATATTATGTCAGTCCCAAAATGACCCAGTTTGTGTCGAATTGAATGAAATGAAATGGGGTTTAACATCCTAATGTTCTGCTCCGATCTTTTACGTGCACATCAATGTATACATGGGACCTCGATTTTTTGTCACATCCTTGTCCAGAGTTCCCGCGGTCCTTGAAAATCCTTGAATATCCTTAAATTTAAAATTTCATTTTCAAGGTCTTGAATATCCTTGAATTTCGCGGAAATAGGAAAATATCCTTGAATTTCGCGGAAATAGGAAAATATCCTTGAATTTCAGTTGAAATCCTTAATTTTGTTTCAAATTCCTTTTAAATATGAGATTATAACGATAGTTGGTAATGTTTTGGTTATTTTTAAGATGAAAAATTGTAACTTTAGGCTAAAAAATGTCCTTGAAAATCCTTGAATTTGACGTATATTTATCCTTGAATATCCTTGAAAAAATGTTTGACGAAGCCGCAGGAACCCTGTTGTCAGGCCCTCTGTCCTGCACCACTGAAAATTACAATGATGTTAGTTCCAAAATAACCTAGTCTGTGTCAAGGGGATAATACAAGAAGTGGGAGAAGAAAAAGAAACTTGCTCTCCTATGATATTTATAATCTTTGTGGTCATGGATTGGTTCACTTGGGTTTTCTGTCCTTTTATTTAGAATGTCATTGAGTCGAGTGACGTGGTTTCAATTCCCCGGTTGTACGTGACAAGGAGCAGGGTCGCCTCTCCAACCGCTTGGGTTTTTTCACGGTCCTCCCACTGCTAAAGACATGCGAATTATTGAAATAAAATAAACCATACGTTAGTCCCAAAATGACCTAGTTTGTGTTAGTGGAGTTAAACCCCCCCTCTCTCTCTCTCTCTCTCTCTCTCTCTCTCTTATTTAGAAAACATCATAGGTAATGATTGGTTCTGTTTAGGGAGTTACCCAAGCAGGTAGTTGATCATAGAGAATACAATTTATTCTGACCTATATATAGACAGGGGTACAACAGTTGTATGCATGTGGGAACAAATTGATGCATGTGTATAATAAATTGATGCATGTGTATAATAAATTGATGCATGGTGTGTAAAATACAGATGGGCGTACAAGAGTTGTATGATGCATCTGAATTGATGCATGTGTAGAACTTGTGTATTACATGTGAATGTAAAAATGGTGCCCCCCCCCACCGTTTAGTTTTAATTCCAACCCTTTATTGAAAAGACAATGGAATCAGTTTACCAAGTTTGTTCCAATAGTAGATAGTGATGTACATGCATCTGTATGCCTTGGTGTATTTCAGATGATCAATTATAGCTTATATATAACCTATTTGCATATGTATTTCTTGGGTTTAGTATGTGTATTCCACCTCTCTGATATTACTGCTATGCGTTGGGGTTTAATATTTGTATTCCACCTCTCTGATATTACTGCTATGCGTTGGGGTTTAGTATGTGTATTCCACCTCTCTGATATTACTGCTATGCGTTGGGGTTTAATATTTGTATTCCACCTCTCTGATATTACTGCTATGCGTTGGGGTTTAATATTTGTATTCTTCCTCTCTGATATTACTGCTACAAATGTATGTGTTGTAGTTGAAGTGAGACTATATAATATGTATTTGTAATCTAAGATGTACTTAATGTATGGAAGAATAATTTGTTGTAAAGTCATTTAGTTGCTTTATTAAATAAAATTTGATAATATCAATCATGTTAATCTACAGGATCTGCATGTTTCACCTTGAGCCACGGTGGCTAAGTGGGTTAGACGCTGGCTCGCTAGCCTGGAGGTCGGGTGTTCGATCCATGCATTGGCCGAGAAAGTTCATCATGATTTTCCGACGTGGTTTCCCCTTGTCAGTGGTGCAGGACGGAGGGCCTGACAAGGACAGCTGTCTAGTCCTTCGGATGACACGAAAAACCAAGGTCCTGTGTATACATTGGAATGCACGTAAAAGATCCCTTGACCGTTGGAATTCGATATAAGAGTAGGCTGTAGTGCCGCTGCCCGGGCAAAATTTCCCTCATAGCACACTGTATGGCGTATGCCGTTTTCGTTAGCCCAATATAGGATTAGGACGTTAAACTCCATTTCATTTCATTTCAATCTACAGGATCTGTATATTTCACAGTCTACAGGGTCCTTTCACTTATCTACAGATCCTTCTACTCACCTAGATCTTGTTTCCTAAGGCTACCTCCAGATTTCCTCAAGGTCGCTGAGATGTTAATATGGTCAGTGAACGAAATGGTGGGTTAGGATTTGCTTAAGGCCAAGGGTTGGGGTTAGCGCTAATCCTGTTTGTATCTAGTGAACTTGGATCAAATTTAGAGACAGGCTTAAGAAATCAAATGAAATGAAGTTTAATGTGCTACTGTTCTGCTCCTAAACTGGGCTAATGAAGACGGACATATGCCATGAAGTGTGCTATTAGAGAAATTTTGCCCGGGCAGCGGCACTATGGCCTACTCTTATATCGAATTCCAACTGCCAAGGGATCTTTTACGTGCATGCCAATGTGTACACAGGACCTCGGTTTTCCGTCCCATCCGAATGAATAGACAGCTGTCCTTGTCAGCCCCTCCATCCTGCATCACTGACAAGGTGAAACCACGCCGGAAAATCTGGATGAACTATTTCGGACTATGAAGGCTAGCGACAGGCTTAAGAAATAGATTTAACCATCCTTTCTCTTACCACTGTATATTTCATAGTACGTGTCTGGAATTCGATCCCTGCATTGGCCGAGAAAGTTCATCTAGATTTTCCGGCGTGGTTCCCCCTTGTCAGTGATGCAGGACCGAGGGTCGCCTGTCCAAACTCGTGGGTTTTCTCTGGGTCCTCTGGTTCCCTCCCACTGCTAAAGCCCCCTTTGCGCAAGCAAATTTTTGAAATAAAATTAAACCACATTAGTCCTGAAATGACCTAGTTTGTGTCTGAGTGGATGTTAAACCCCATTTCTCTCTCTCTCTCTCTCTCTCCTCTCTCTCTCTCTCTCTCTGTCTGTCTGTCTGTCTACATTAGCATGTCATAAGATTACAGGTCACACAATATGCAGAAAACGCACAAAACTACACTCTGTGGTGTCTGTATTCGGTATATATTTCAAAGGGAAATAAAATGGGGACAGGAGGAACCATATCATACTTGCGATATTTATTGCAGAACAAATTTTAATTTGCCATTGGATTGGAAAATCTGTTACTGGGCAAGTTGTTTAAAACGATAATTTCATATTTTTAAATTATATTTTTAAAATGTATTAAAATAAAGCCTTAAAATAGATGGTATCTATAAACAGTCCTACCTTGTTCAAGAATAATCCTATTAATCCTATAATTCACTATTGCCAGTTGAGAAATTTGCAAAAATATCATTTTCAACTTCAAATTCAAACTTTTGAAGATAGCTATTCCATGGGGGGAATAGAAAAACAAGGGCGGTAAATGTGTTATTATTCCCAGGGTGAATGATTTTTAAGTGTGAGAATGATACTATGATCGTATAATAGTGAGTTGACAACCTATTGAGCAAAAGACATACAAATGATTCTGTTTTGACTTTCTTAGAAAATATGAAATTATCGCTTTAAAACCTGTGACATGCATAAATGGTAAAAAAAAAAGGAGTAAACTGATATGGCTATACTTGTAGTTCTGGTACGGACGTCGTGCCTATATACCAGTTCATTTTTCACAAAATATGAAGGTATTTAATTAGAGGATATGGAATAATTTAATTGTGAGTTATTTGTGCTGGATAGATCCACGTCCGTTTTCAATATACAACCTCAAATCGTTTTTTTTTTCCGGAAACGAACTTGGGGAAAGAAAAATTAAAGGAAGGAAAGGTGGTCTTTTGTTAGATACACAGCCATTTTCTTGACTTGTAATTTCAGATCTTGTATCTTTTGCTGTGTTGTTTTCGTCACCCAGCTTCACGTAAAATGCGTTGTTTTAAATAGAATGGTCAGTTGATTTTGGTCGAAGTTTGCCATACACTTAAAATTAAAGGTAACGTTGCCAAAGTTTGAAACAGGTGTTAAGGTGGGGTTTCAGGTCACGTGACTTCAGCGTGAAATCTGACAGCCAGCGGCTAAAAATATAGCCCACTTCAATCTATGATTCTGAATTACAATTTTATTTAAAGTAGCTAAGTCTATAAATCAATATCATCCAAAATCTTCAACATTGAAAACACGAATTATTTGTCAATTTAAATCAACATTGATGCTGTGATCTTCTTACCGGAAAAAGATGGGCTTCTGATATCCAATACTAGAAGAATGCCCGGCTTCGCTCGGGGGGTCACAACCCCGAAACCGGAAGTGGTAGACTAACGCCACCTGGCCTATGTTACTCCCCAGTCCGAGCTACCCCTATACCCCAAATTTCAGACTCGGGGCAGACCTAGAGTAGCCGCCAACCCCGAACAGACAGACAAACGATAGTCACAAATATTAGTATAGATTTAAGACAAAATAAACATTTTACCATTGGTACACGAATCGTGTACCATTTTGAGTTTCAGCCCCAGTTGTAACAAGAGACTCGAGGAACGAGGCTAGACACATTGCACCAAATCAAACGGTGCCGTCATATGCCGAACATAACTGATTTGAAATTAGAGTAAAAACGGAAACCATTGAATGTAAATCAGATTATATACATTCATATTACAGTATTATATGCGTTGCGACCCAATTGTGTCAATTTCTAGGTCCCAAATGTTAGCGATTTAGCTCCTTTAAATGTATTATTAGCAATTGTAGTGTAATAGGTTAATATCAATCTCAATATCTGTAAAGATTCAGGCTCGAAAATTATCGAAATGTAAGCGAAATTACCGGTTATGGATAGCAGGTCGTTTCATCCCACTACCGGTTCATCTCGGGCTGTTTCATCCCAAATTTTCACGTGTCCTTTCATCCCACTTATATCAGGTCGTTTCATCCCACAAATTTAAAAAACGGTATTGCATGAATTTTTAATATTTTATTTATACATTAATGCCAATAAAAATATGTCAATGCAATTTTATCATGAAGTGTCCAACTTCTTCCTTATTCCTTTTTCAAATCCCCAGTTGTACGTGACAAGGAGTAGTGTCACCTGTCCAACCTTGTGGGTTTTCTCCGGGTTCCCCCGTTTCCTCCGACTGCTAAAGACCCCTACGCGCAAGCGAATTATTGAAATAAAATTAAAAACCATATGTTAGTCCCGAAATGACCTATTTTGTGTCGAGTGGATGGATGTTAAACCCCATTTCTCTCTCTCTCTCTCCCCCTTATTCCTTTACGAACTAATCTAAAATCATAACGGCAATTAACTAACAATGCGAATATACTTTACTACAAAAACATCGGTGAACTGACCTAAAATCTAAAATCATAACACCAATTAACAAACAATACGAATATACAGCCAACTAATCTCGGTTGAGATCCGTAATCAACAAAAATCGAGGAGTAAAACTTATTTATTCCATACATTATTGTTTATTTAACAATAAGTAAGTATTTAAAAGTTTATTTAACTAAAAGTACAACTCAGTTGATTAACTGCTATTCTAATAACAAGGGGGATGAAACAGCCTGGGATGAAACAGCCCGATAAAAAATTAGGTTGGGATGAAACAGCTCGGGGTGAAATGGTTGTGGGATGATCTGACCCACATCCACGGTTATGTACAGGAGAGGCTCGCGGGAAAATACCACTCTGACGTCAAAGGCCAGGGATTTTCCATTGCTACGGCTCACTTCATTGGTGAATCCGCACCTTAGTTTCCGGTGGAATTTGATATAGAACCAATCAAACGATAGATAACCTTTTTGTGATTATTATCTCATTTGCTGACTGAAATTTGCTAAATTTCGACTAACTATAGCCTACTTTGTTTGTGGTATCATCCAAATTATAACTATTTGACATATTATCATTCAAATTATTACGATTTATATAGATCTTAGCTGACTATAACATGCGGATTTGAGTTTTAAAATTGGTACTAGCGATTCTGAAGGGAAAATACCACTTATGACGTCACTCAGATATGACTGAAAAGCACTATGTCACTGCAAGTGTCAACTATTTAGATTCAGTTATCTGAAAGAATTTTGAAAAAATATTAACAATTAAAAAAGTTATCACATTTCGAAGAGGGGGGTTGGATGGCCGAATGGTTAGCACGTGGGCGCTGTATCTTAAGGCCTGTCATTGAGTCAACTGGTGTGGTTTCGAATCCCCGGATGTATTTGACAAGGAGTAGGATCGCCTGTCCAACCTCGTGGGTTTTCTCTGGGTGCTACGGTTTCCTCCCACTGCTAAAAACTCCTACGTGCAAGCGAATTATTGAAATAGAATTGAACCATATGTTAGTCCCAAAATGACGTAGTTTGTGTCGAGTGGTCGTTAAACCACCCTCTCTCCCTTTTTAAGACACAGTCAGGACTAACATCTTATACTCCACATCAACTTAGATATTAGTTATATCTGTAACACATACAATGTCTGCAGATTAACATGGTATAAAAGTAAATAAACTTTTAAAGGGAGTAATTCAGTGTAGATCAGTCTGATCTCAAAAGAGCTGGTCAACTGTAGATATGATGAATATGCGTGAGTCAATCGAAACTTACCCACATAAAAAATATGATAATGAAACAATAACATATTTGTGTATTGACTAATGTACGGTACGAATAGATGTGAAATAAATAAATAAAAATAGATGAATATAAAGAAATAATTCTCAGTTCCAAACTGTCAAGTGACATCGTCGAAATAATTCTCAGTTCCAAACTGTCGACGGACATCATCTGCTAGATAATAGCACTCATAAGGTCAGATCAAACGTTTGCTATCGTCTTAAACTACTTAAGGTATTCAAATACAAATATATGTAGACATAAGTAGGTATATATATTATTTTAAAACTTAACCCCTGTTCAAAATATAATCATGAATGCTAGAAAATTCCATTAAAATAGAATCTTCTGACATTTTTCATGTAGAAATTTTGAAGTTGCCATTTCTCGCATCTTGCAAGAGTTTTTCTTTTAGTTTTAAGTTAAAGTAACCAATCATACATGTACATGCATGTAGGCACCATCTATTTTTATTGTAAAACTAATGATGTTATAACTTTAGGTCATCTAGGGTATATAACTTTTATATATTACAGGCAACTAATGGTGTTATAACTTTTATATATTAGAGGAAACTAATGATGTTATACCTTTTATATATTACAGGATACTAATGATGTTATAACATTTATATATTACAGGAAACTAATGGTGTTATAACTTTTATATATTACAGGCAACAAATGATGTTATAACTTTTATATATTACTAGAAACTAATGATGTTATAACTTTTATATATTACAGGAAACTAATGATGGTATAACTTTTATATATTACAGGAAACTAATGATATTATAACTTTTATATATTACAGGCAACAAATGATGTTATAACTTTTATATATTACAGGAGACTAATGATGATATAACTTTTATATATTACAGGATACTAATGATGTTATAACTTTTATATATTACAGGAAAATAATGATATTATAACTATTATATATTACAGTAAACTAATGATGTTATAAATACAGTAAACTAATGATGTTATAAATACAGCAAACTATTGATGTTATAAATACAGGAAACTAATGATGTAATGAAATTTTTCAAAGGTGTGGGAATTTAGAAATCCATATGGAAGTGAAAACTGATGATGAATGTCGACATAATAAAGACAAACTTAATAAAGTCCAAGTAGAGGAGACATTTTTACGACATGTGGAAAATCGGGAGACAAGTTTCAGCCAAGATGATTCTAACAAATGTCACATCTGTGATAAAACTTTTATGTATCTTCAGATACACATGAGAGTTCATACAGGCAAAAAACCTTATAAATGTGATGTTTGTGGTAAATCATTTCCTCGGAAGAGCAGTCTACAACAGCACATAAAAATTCATACTGGCGTAAGACCTTATAAATGTGATGTTTGCGATAAATCATTTAGTCAGACTAGTGATTTACAGAAACACATGAGAATTCATACCGGTGAAAAACCTTATATATGTGATGTTTGTAGTAAATCATTTTCTACGAATAGTCATCTGAAAAGACACATAAAAATTCATTCTGGAGTAAAATCTTATAAATGTGATGTTTGTAGTAAATCATTTGGTCAGAACCATGCTCTACAGCAACACTTAAAAACGCATACAGGTGAAAAGCCTTATAAATGTGATGTTTGTAGTAAATCATTTAGTCAGAAAAGTAGTCTGGCATCGCACTTGAAAACTCATTTCAGAGTTAATCAGTATAAGTGTGATATTTGTGGTAAATCAATTAATCGGCAAGCTAATCTGAAAAGACACATGAAAATTCATACTGGACTTAAACCATATGAATGTGATGTTTGTAATAAATCATTCAGTCAGAATCATAATCTACAGAGCCACATTAGAATTCATACTGGTGACAAGCCTTATAAATGTGATGTTTGTGGTAAATCATTCACTGAGATTGGTACTCTACAGTCACACATGAGAATTCACACATTGGAAAAACCTTTTCATTGTTCTGTTTGTAATAAATCATTCAGACAGCATGGGACTCTCGGGCAACACATGAGAAGTCATACAGGCGAGAAACCTTTTAGATGTGATGTTTGTAGTAAATCATTTACCAAGAGCAATACGCTACATTCACACATGAGAATTCATACTGGTGAAAAACCTTATAGCTGTGATGTTTGTGGGAAATCATTTCGACAGTCTAGTTCCCGATTGACACACATGAAGATTCATAGTAGAGAGAAATAAAAAAAACGTAAAAAATATTATGTTTAAAAATATGTATGTGAGGTTATCTAGACCATTTTGAGAGGCTCTGAACCCAAATTACTTAGTCCTAGCAGCTTGAGTTGGGGTTTGGGAGCTGAAAAAAAAAAGACTTGTACATTGCCTGAAATACCATCCGGTTGCTGTGTTTTCTTATAAAAATTTGAGAAATTTCAAATTACAGTAAACCTTGCATAAGTCGGATTCGTACAAGTCGGATCTTCGCTCAACTTGTATACAATCGTTTGGACCCTTTGATCTTGCATGTTTTTCTTATTAAATTTCTGCACGTAACTCAGATTTCCTTAGGCGGATCTTGCTCAACTCGGATCAAAACCGATTTTATTTCGACAAGGATTAAATAGGAAGGTTCCTGAATGTACAGGGCAATAATGAGACCTACATGTACATTCAGAGCTGAACTAGGTCTAGGTCCGACTTATTTAAAGTTTTCTGTACAATGTATATAATAAAAAAAACCAATTGGGTGTTTAGATCAACATGTTATATGTACATGAAATGATGTAGACCAGTTTTAAGTCTTTTTTCGTGATTTCCCCTTGTCAGTGATGCAGGACGGCGGGCCTGACAAGGACAGCTGTCTAGTCGTTCGGATGGTACGAAAAACCGAGGTCCTGTGTACACATTGGTGTGCACGTAAAAGATCCCTTGGCAGTTGGAATTCGATACAAGAGTAGGCCGTAGCGCCCTCATAGCACACGGTATGGCGTATGCCCGTCTTCATTAGCCCAGGTTAGGAGCAGAACAGTAGGACGTTAAACCCCATTTCATTTCATTTCATTTAAGTCTTTTTATTGTCACTTTTGCAGGTAAGCAGATTAAAACAATAGAGTGAGAGAAATGGGGTTTAACGTCCACTAGACACAAACTAGGTCATTTCTGGACTAACATATAGTTTGATTTTATTTCAGTAATTCGCTTGCGCGTAGGGGTCTTTAGCAGTGGGAAGAAACCGGAGGACCCGGAGAAAACCCATGAGGTTGGACAGGCGACCCTTCTCCTTGTCACGTACAACCTGGGATTCAATGACAGGCTTTATGATAAAGCGCGCACATGCTAACTATATGTTAGTCCCAAAATGACCCAGTTTGTGTCAGGTGGACATTAAACCCTCTCTCTCTCTCTTTTATTCACTCTAAATTCAACTCTGCCACCCTTGTTTCCTGTAAAACAGGATATATTGTTACTTTACGTTTTAAGCATTACACTAAGTTTGTGGGTTATTTTAAAAGCTTGACCTAATATTTAATATTACACAAGTGGTGTCACCTATCAAACGGGAATGTTACATAATAGACATCTTATGGAATCTTGCGCGGATGAATAGTCAGAGTCTAGAAATGTAACAAAAGATTCTCTAGAAATCTTACTGGGATCAGAAAACATTTTGCTCGGTGAATACAAACACACAATTTGATTAAAATACAGATCTATATTTCGTTTCGTGTTTTTTATACTTTCGATGGCCTACACTGCATGAAGATCTGGCCGGTTGTAGTGGGAGGTTGTGTCAGATGTCATACGAGCGGCTTTTGACCCTATGACATCTGACATTTGATTAATCAATCAGCATTGATGTGCCTAGTGGATTACCCACAGTTCCTTTCACCACACGCCTAAACCTTGCCGTAACAGACTGTTTTATTGGCTAATCTCTCACGTCAAGCAGAACACAGGTTAACCCGTTATATAACGTTCTGGACTCACTCACTATGTGTAGGGCGTAATATAACGCCTTGGAGGTATTTTCCCTAACCTAGTCTTAGAACATAGTTTGACACTTGCCCCACGATCCCAGCATGTGTAGGACGTTATATTACGTCCTGGACAACTGCCACTCACTGTGTGTAGAGCATAATATAACGCCTTGGAGGTATTTTCACCAACCTATTCTTAGAACATAGTACATAGTTCTTCGTCACTTCGTCAAATTAATTACACAATAGGGGGTAGTTAACGTTTTAAAACGTCATGCTTAACGGGTTATATAACAACTCTTCCATATACTAGTGTAGTAAAGACAAGTAAAACAAAATTTTGAACTATACGAAACGAAATAAGATCTGTGTTGTAATCTGATAGAAGACAAACCTATATTTGCATACTAATAATGTATTTAAATGTTTTGTGGATAAAATAAAAAACTATGATCTTCAAATTTTGTCTTATTAATGTTTATGTTGTTTGCAGTTTACCAGATAGTATTGACATCACTCTCTTTTTCCTGTTGACAAGGGGATCACGGTGGTTAAGTGGGTAAGACGATGGCTCGCTAGCCTGGAGGTCGGGTGTTCGATCCCGGCATTGGCCGAGAAAGTTCATCCAGATTTTCTGGCGTCGTTCCCCTTGTCAGTGATGCAGGACAGAGGGCCTGACAAGTCATTAGGATGGAACCAAAAACCAAGGTCCCATGTACACATTGGCGTGCACGTAAAAGATCCTTTGACAGTTGGAATTCAATATAAGAGTAGGCCATAGTGCTGTTGTCTGGGCAAAATTTCCCTCATAGCACACTGTATGGTGTATGCCCGTCTTCATTAGGTCAGTTCGGAGTAGAACAGTAGGACGTTAAACCCCATTTCATTTCATTTCATTTCCTGCTTATAATAATAAATAACTCTGAATTAACTATGTACATGTACCAGGCAGTCAGGTTGGTGTTGGTGGAATCTCCCGGGTGGCCAGGTCGGCGTTGGTGTAATGTACCGGGCGGCCCATGTTCCTGAAGCAACGACTGCGAGTTTCACAATATCTGGCCATTGCTTGTTTACATCACAATTCCTGAACTTATAGCTATGTTATCTACAGACACGTAAGCAGCAGCGTCCAATCAGAGGTTGTGAAATCGCGACCTCCACAGAAACCTTGACATTGAATGAATCTTGAACTTTGCAACTCGATTATCACAGGTAGACATTTTAGCTTGAAAGCGCGAGAGTTGGTATTCGCGACGATCGAGGAATCTGATAGGATCACAAGTTGGGCTTGTACCCAATCGAAATTTGTGCAGCAATATGCAGGGTATTACGTGAAGGCCTTGATAAGATGTACGTAGTTAAAGCGAGATCAAGCCTTCTATTGAAGATGCGGGCGGCCAGGTCGGTGTTATTTGCCCCTGAGTTAGCAATCGGAATCAGACCAGTTATTTGATAATCTCGCTTATAAACATGCACTCTGCATCATCAGGTCTGTCATTGAATCAACTGGTGTGTTTTCGATTCCACATTACAAGGTGTAGAGTCACCTGTCCAACCTCGTGGGTTTTCTCTTGGTCCTCCAGTTTCCCCCCACTGCTAAAGACCCCTACGCGCAAGCGAACTATTGAAATAAATTTGAACCATATGTTAGTTGGTAATATACATGTATCTTGAAAAGCAAACATGGAAGACTTATGGAATTTTGCAGTCTAGTAGTTTATTCATTTCTTGATTCTTTGAAATAAAAAACATTTTGCCACCAGTGCTGGTTTTGGTGCTTTTTGATGCAGCTTGGGTGTACCCTTTGTTTATTCAACTTTTGTTCGAATCCGGGCGCTAGGAACTTTGTGATGATATAACTTGATACGCCCACCTTATGTATCTGAGGGGTTGGATAGCCGAATGGTTAGCACGTGCGCACTCTATCATAAGGTCTGTCATTTAGTCCACTGATGTGGTTTCAAATCCCAGGTTGTACGTGACAAGGAGTAGGGTGGCCTGCCCAACCTTGTGGGTTTTCTCCGGGCCCTCCAGTTTCCTTCCACTTCTAAAGACCCCTACATGCAAGCGAATTATTGAAATAAAAAATTAAACCATGTGTTAGTCCTGAAATGACCTAGTTTGTGTCGAATGGACGTTAGACCCCATTTCTCTCTCTCTCACCTTATGTATCTGTCGATATGGTGACATAAAGATCTTAGAGCCACCAAAGCTATGGTGTGCACAGTGAGCCTACCCTAACTCGATTCCCCCATATTTTTAGTATGTTTTCGGTAATATATCTCGACTTGCCAACATAGAAGGCTTTTGGAATTTTGCCATCTAGTAGTTGATCCATCCCTTGATTCTGTGAAATAAAAAAACATTTTACTTTCAAAGCTGGTTTATTTTGATGCAAAATGGAGGTACCCATTTCTGTGTGCTCAGTCGGCCTTGTGTGCGATATTTTAGTACGTTTACGGTAATAGTTTTTCTGGATTTTTTTTTTGTCTAATACAATATATACTTTGCATTAATATGTCTTAAAATGTTATTTTCTAATATTAAGGTAACCATTATTTTCGTGATAATTATATATATAGGGTTTTATTGACGCCAGGAATATGTTTGCTAACTTCATATTTCGAATCCGGGTGCTTAAATACGGGTGAGAGATTCCGCTCGGTCAACAAACAGATGGAAATCGAAATCAGAGTAGGCCATAGCCTAGTTACTTTAGTAACGTAAATTGTATCGACTCTGCTAGTAGAGAGCAGAGCCGATACAATTTACGTTACTAAAGAGAGCAGAGTCGATATAATTTTACGTTACTAATAAGTAACTACTTAAACTAGCCGTAGCCCCACTGTCGTCAGGAAATAATTCCCCGCATTATCATTGCACACGTAGGCTACTGCATCGTTTTCATTTCTACCTGCAATCTAGTATTTTGGTTTAAAATTAAGAATAAAAGTATTAATAGCTGTATCCAGTCCATCAGAATAATTGCCTACGAAAAAGAAAAACAAATTATTAATCAGCCGAAGGTGTATTTATAGCCAAAACATATATTTGAAACATTCGGACAACCATAGTTCCTACAATATCATCCAGGGCTCTGGTTTCTCGAAATGTTAACCAAAGATAAAATCCAAATTTTAGTAGATACTTCAATTTTGATTGGCTAAGAACTAAAAACAAACTAATATTATCCAATCAAATTACTCAAATTTGGATTTTATTTTAGTTAAGATTTCGTGAAACAGGCCTAAGAAAATTAATCTACGAATTTAGGTCAACCAAAGTACACCGAATGCAGAAGTCGCTTAATAGTTAGATCTAGCTTTACGATAAGGGGACTCTGTCGGGGACTCTGTCGCGGTTTGCCGAGTGCTCCCTTTCTGAGACGAATCAGTCATTTTGTGTTGTTTTTAATAGTCCAGCTGCACATCGAAAGATTTCTCTTACAAAAATGGTGAGTTGGTTTTGGTATGAAGTTGAATAGGCCTAAGCAATGGAATACATACAATTTAAAATCCGATTTCATTGCGTATAAACATAGGTATGCTACTGTACTAAGTACTATTCAACTATTGCTAGAGTAGGCTACTACACGTGGGAGAGAATTAAAGTAAGAATGCAAACGGCGAACGGTCACACGATATTCTTTTTCATATGATACCCGACTTCAACCCCAGGAATGGTACATGTAGCTACAACATTGTTTTCTTTCACCAAGACCACATAAATACTTCAACTAGCACTTGTCGTTTGTAATAAGTTTCGAAAAGTTAACGTTTTTAAATTCCCGCTCAAAGTTTTGTATTCATGATAGGCTACTCATTAAATAGCCGCAACTGATGGACATTGACAAATTAAACATACATTATACAAGAGCTAAATCTGCTTACTGCAGGTCTTTCTGTAGTGTAGGCCTGAAATGTTATCTAAATTATTAATTAGACATTAAATTAACTTATCCAGACCATAATGAACTCTTGATGTAGGGGTTTCAGGTCAAAGTTTCAAATGACAGAAAAAATTTATATAAAATGCTATCCGAAAATTTGTATTTCATCAAAATAGTCTAATTAGATCCAAAGTTATGGAATTTTAAAATCAATAATGTAATCAAAATGCTCTACAGTCAATGCGTGGAAGGCACCGAAATAATTGCTTTTCAGTCATATCGAAGTGACGTCATAAGCGGTATTTTCCCTTTAGAATCCCTGTTACGGTACCAATTTTAAAACTGAAATCCGCACGGTATAGACAGCTAAGATTTATTAAAATCGTAATAATTTGAATGATAATATGTCAAATACTTATAATATGGATGATACCACAAAAAAGTAGGCTATATTTAGTCGAAATTTAGCAAATTCCAGTCAACAAAACAGAAAAATCCAGTTTTCTACGGCTGTCATTGTCAGATCTCGGGGTATCACGCATCACAAAAATGTTAGCTATCGTTTGATTGGCTCTATATGTTAAAATCCCCCAGAATCAAGATGCAGATTCACCAATGAAGTGAGCCATAGCAATTCGCATTGATGGAAAATCCCCGACAGCATGAAATCAGAGCGGTATTTTGCCGCGAGCGTCTCTCTGGACAGAGCCTCGTCTAAGGATTTGGTCGTGCGCGGCAATGTCGGGCGAAACTCGAACTGACTCCCTTAGACTCGATTTCTGAGCACTTAAAAAATAGTTTCGGAGATTTGATACACTATTAGTTTTGGCATCTTGTTAAACCATGGATTGATTAACACCCTGTAAAATCAAGATCAAAACACTGCTGCGGCTGACCTGCAGACAGAATACCCATAAAACAATCAGAAAGACGATTTTGTAAACCTACTCACCCTGATATAGTATTGGCATATGGGAAAAACCGTATCAGCGATTTTCAAAACGTATGTATGTTGCCGCCCAGTCTTCAACTTTTGGGCTCAGTAGGCGGCACAGTTTGGCCGGTGCGCCTAGTCACCATGTTAAACGAGGCTCTGGTCTCCCATACATAAACGTTAATTTCGCTTACATTTCGATAATATTTGAGCCTGAATCTGTACAGATATTGAGATTGATATTAAACTATTAAAATACAATTGCTAGAAATACATTTACATGAAATAGTAATTCATAATCGTAGATTGAAGTTGGCTATGTTTAAGCCACTGGCTGTCAGATTTCACACTAATGTCACATGACCTCAAAAAGAGAGAAATGGGGTTTAACGTCCACTCAACACAAACTAGGTCATTTAGGGACTAACTCATGGTTCAATTTTATTTCAATATTTTGCTTGCGCGTTGGGGTCTTTAGCAGTGGGAGGAAACCGGAGAACCCGGAGAAGACCCATGAGGATGGACAGGCTTGTCACGTACAACCGGGAAATCGAAACCCTGCCAGTTGACTCAATGACAGACCGTATTGTACAGCTAGCGCGCTAACCATTCGACCATGCAACCCCCCCCCCCTACACACACACACATGACCTGAAACCCTTACTGTTCAAGTGCACATAAGATGGACGTTGAAACTTTTCGCTACGTGGGGATCACATGGCTAAGT